CCTGGGCTGAGGTACAGATCTAGAAGCCTGGGTTCAGTAGGCTTAGTTTCTGCAGCATGAACGCTCTGCATCTCGATGTCCAAATTCCAAGGAAGGCCTCAAACTAACCTCTCTGGATGTCACCCTTAGAACCCAACTTTCAAGGTGCTGAGAAGTGGTCTGGGGTCTCAGTTCTCAGTGACGTCAAGCTGTGTAGGACAAGGGCAATGGCAACTGAGGTAATTCAATAGCTCACAGAAATCCCAAGAGCCCAAATTCTCCATCCCTAACCTTCAAAAGAGGAAGCCGCAATGACAGGTTCCCTGCAGCTGATGACAGTCTCCTTCCACAGTTACAATGGGAGTCGGCAATGAACCGGCTACTGGGAATGAGAGGGTCACTGCATACTGACGGGTACGGCTCGAGGGCATCGCTCAGCCCTTGGGCGTGAAGCGGGGCTCCCTTGAGCCATCGGTTCTTTCAGTGGGAGCTGGGTTCATATTTTGAGATACTTTTTAGCTCACGTGGTGAATGAGAGAAAGTGGACACGTTTTATGCTGCTGGCAGTGCGCTAATAGAAGATGTCTGCTCAGGATGGTTAACGATAACCTGCTTAACATTTGAGTCTCTACGAGCAGTTCTCTACACCAGCTATAAGGCATTAGGCAAATGCTTATTTTGTGGACACCAAAGGCAAGTTAGTGTGTTTCTGCTAGTAGTCATTGAATGTCTTTTCTTTGTTATGGAGAATTGATGAGAAATGTAAATGAAACATTTCAAATATAAAAAGTATTTGTTTGTTTAAAGAAATGTTAGATTTCAATTGCCATTAGAAATCCAGTAGTTTGTCGGGGTGAGTTGAATCCTGCTCCTGCTGCCGTCAAAAGCACCCCTGGCTTTAGTGGGAGAAGGATAAGACACAAGAGAGGAGCCAGTGTCTACAAGGTATGTACACATGAATCCCAGAACAGAAAAGGCATGAGGTATGAATAAATGCGTAGGTTTTGATAAAACTGGAGCTTGGTATTTTTTTTTTCTGAGAGAGGTGGGGCATTAGTAAAGTTTAATGCTGAAGAAAACGCAGACTTCCTCCGGAAATCTCCAAGCGTCTGCCTCTCTTCAGGCTCAAGCACTCATGGTTTGGGGTCAGGCTCCAACTGAAGGGTGCCAGGGGAACAGTGGCTGGTGGTGGTGGGCATCCTTCTGCTCCCTGCACCCCGTCACGAAGGCACACACACGCACACACAGGTCTGTTCCCCAAAGCCAGGAGAGGGCCAAGCCCTGGGGCTGACTCCCCCACCGCAACATCAGAGAGAAGCACCAGATTTAGGACCTACACTTACACAACCCTCATTTATGTGCCCATGGTGCTTTTCATGCCCGTCTCCAGAATGCTACGCTTAACTCAGTGAGGCAAAAGGTGTATGAAACAGCAACAGAACAAACAAACAAACCAACAAGATGGATGGGTACAATTGGAGAGCAGAGTTTTGGCTAAAAGGGTGTGAACTGACATCACTCCCATTGGGACTGGTAACAATAGGCGCTGCTGCCTTAAAGGAACAGAGCTTATGGCTGAAGGGCTAAGGATCATAACGGAACAATGCAATTTATGGGTGGAAGAGGGGAAACAAATTAATTGTGTCGAACTCCTATGAGCAACGCTCTATATAGTCTCACAGACAATTAACACAGACTTAGCACTGATCTGATAACTCAGTATCGGGGGACAGAATGATATGCCTGTTGGAAAAATGGGTCTGTTTTCTGCAAGAAAATACACCCATAACAGTCTTTTCAGTACTGGATAATCATTATTTGGATTTGAATTGAGTAAACTCACAAAAGATGGAATAGATAACAGAACGGATGGTTGCGATTTTGGTGTGTAGCAAACAAGGGCGTCTTCTTTTCAGAAGGAGGTGAACTTCAGTGGCCTTCGGCACTGCCTCCTGATTGTACCCAGTCATAGATGACCAAGGGAATGCTCACTAGGGAAAACATTATCCCCAGCGCCAAGAAAAGAGAAGCCTGGAACAAACAGGAGAGAAAATTAATGAATAAAAAGAAAAGACACTTAATTCAAGTATGTTAACTTCTCCTCTTAAGGAGGTTTACAAGGTGATGTATCAAAGCTATCAGCTAAAATGGGATAGCACTTCTGGTAAAGACAAGATCCATAGATAATTAAACAGATTAGCGTCATTACAACACCAAACCCAATTTTTTTCTCTTTTCAGTTCACTTCTTAAACTCCGATCATCCCTAAAGAGGATTAAGTGAGTCTGTTTTTAGGACCGATCAGCTCTGCTCTTTCCAAAGCCTCACGGAAATAAGTATACTCTTCCCATCAGATATGTGTCCATCGAAGTTCAGCCCTTTTATCTTGGGGTCTGTGGATGGAGCCACAAGTGAAACACAGGTTTCCTGCCCATCTGCTCAGAGCAGGAAGGTCTGACCGTACAATGCTTCCAGCGCATGCGCTGTTAGACTGGGAATACACAGGGGTGTTGTGTCTTTTCAGCTGCAGCTTTTTCTGGGGCTCACGGGGCCTCTTTTTCCAAGGCCCATTCCCATCAGCTCATGCATGCCAAAGGGCTAACATTTCAGCTGGCTGCTTCTGGCGGAAGCACCCTACGTCTGACTCGGGTCCATTAAAACCACAAGGAATACCACAAATGGAGCGCTTTGCACGCTTTCTGGATCAACACACTGAAACGCAGAAAGCTTCCTGGGCTGAAAGGTTTGCTGGAGCGGGCTGGAGAGGTACCCGCACCCTGCCCCAACTACGGCTGCTTGCAGAGCTGCCGCTTGCCAGGCAGGGGAAGGGCCCCTCGCCCCCCAGAACAGGAGATGCCCTGCCTGGTACGGCCCCTCTGCTGGGAGACCCCCGAATAAGCAAAGGAGAAGGGCAAGCACGGCTGCCCATGGACTGAAGCAACGAGGGAAAGCAAGGTCATGAAGCTCACACGTATGTTCAGATTAAGTACGCTTTGCCCCTAGCACATGATAAGGAATGACAAGACGAAAGCGTTGCGTTGATGGGAAAGGAATGCGTACCCAAATCCTCTGGGTCAACTTGGATCCATCCTGCTGTGTAATTTTTAAATACAACGATGAAGGCAGAATGAAAATCAGCATATTGGCAGAAGTGACCCCTGAAAAATTCAAATAAATAAGTTTTGTTAGCTGTCAGCAACAGCTAATTATTGTGTTGCTGATTAGCAACAGGTTTTTATTAGTAGTACAAAACCGGGACACTGTACCTACAACTCCGAAAATATCCTTCATGGTTGGGATAAAAATGACTAACAGGTTGATGATAACCAAAAGAACAAAAGTAACCAAAACATGGCGGCGTAAGTCAAATTTTGTTTTTCTAGCCAGCTCAAATAATGATGAACGCACCTGTAGGAAGAGAGAGAGAGTTGTCTGTCAGGAATAGTCTATAAGCCAATTCAAAGCTTCTCATGTTTATTTTATCTGCTTCTTCATGCGGCAACAAGCACTGCATACATCCATCAGAAATTTTGGGGTCTCCAATGTAATGTCCTTTGAAATAATCCTTAAAATTAATTTGGTATTTCAAAACTGTAGGTATACATGCATCTGCAGTAACATATTCCTCTCTTTCTAACAGGCCTTTTGGGATCCTTTGGCACTTAGAAATGAACTTCACCTCTGAGCCTGCTCCAGTGAAGTAATGTGAAGTAAGAGAGGGCCCTTGTGGATTCAATTTAAAATAGATTTAAGACCAAACACGAGTAATTTATTTCCTGCAGGGAGAAACTCTCCAGAAGTTAGTGGGAGTCTGGTGTGGGAAAAGACTGATCCAAGCTCGAGCTCTTTTTGTAGCTGCAGCGTCGCTGTCTCGGCAACTGCCAGACTGCGGTTTGAAGAAACGCACCGTGTACAGCCCTTACCGACTTCCAAACCACGTCGAGCTTTTTACTTACAGTGAAAAACAGCACCGGCACCGTGAGTATCACCGCAACGATCACAGCCAAGCGCACGGTCAGGATGAGGATGTCAGCTTTGCTCTGGTACTTGTGAAGCAGATCTGACTGCACATTGTCTACGGAAAAGACAGTAAGATAAGTGTTCTGGCAGACAGGCAATTCGTTCACAAAAATCATTGCTTAACAACAGCCTTCTTGAACAACAAGTGATTTATCTGCAAACAAAAGAGTGTGGAATGAAACATTCTTGAGTTAAAACAGCGCTTTGAACCAAATCCTAATGATCCCATTATTCCAGATTAATCCTTTGGAGGCCTGATTTAGGAATGTGTCCTAATTCAAGACAGCACATGCCTAAGTCTAAGGTAATTTTCACTGTAGGGAAGACAACAGTGAGACATACACGAAAGCTTGCTTACATATATACATATATAAAAAAATAAGTAAAGTGAAATAAGCTATTTCTAATTGGTTCCGTGGGCTTTTTTTTTTTTTTTTTAAGTTTCAAACGATATAAAAATAATCACATGCACTGAACTTAATATAAACTACATGGGTTTGAGCTAAATTAGTCTAAAGAGCAAAAAAAACCTCCCAGCTAAAAGCAGTGCCCCTGTTCTCAACCAAGAACAAAGCCCAGCTTGGGTCAGCTCTCAGTGCGAGGCTCTGACATTTGCACTCAAATCCCTGATGGGTTTTTTCTCTTGAAGCTGCCCCCCCCCAAGCAGTGCCTGCAGCTCAGCCCCACGCCGGCCCGTGGCCCCAGCACCCA